ACATGGGGATTTGTGTACAAGCTCGACGAGGTGCTCAAATTATTCAGAGCGCAAAATGTACCTAACATTGTTTGAAATTTGATCTATTTCAAGCCATGCGATAAGTTCTACTGGTACACAGACTTCTCCAAACAGATAACGATAGTTGCAATAATTGCTATAATTGATTCTCTTACAATAATTAAGGTGCGATTGAACTCGTCCAAGGTTAGTTATAGACAATAAGTTTATTTGAAAGTATAATTAGTTTTTTACACAAACAACTGCTACCTAGATAACCTTTCATGGTATAAGACAAGATCAAGCAAAGCGGAGAACGGAAATCAACTTTCTCAAACAGGTGAGGCAGACATGTTATTCACTTATTTTCAATTTTATAACTATGCAAAATTACAGGCGGTGTACCAGTTTCTATTGTGGATTGTTGAAATGGTGTCTTACTTCTTTCTTAGTTCCTACTTCAAACATGAATTCATTAAATGGCTTCTCAACACTCTGACTTGGGCTCTAATGCACGCTGGCGATGGGTAGGATTGGAATGTAGAAATAATTAAGGGCTTTCCTTAATTATTTTCATTATATAGATTCCTCATAATTGGGCTAAATAAAGAAGTGCGTGAACTGTTCTGGAATCCAAGAAGGGTAGGTTTCTTCCCGTAAGAAATTTTTTGTTTTATCTTATTAAATATTTAGATAATTTCAAAAAAAGGAAGGAGCAACTCGACAGCTGTCACATGGGCGTTCAGACTCACTGCTCACGCTCAAAGCTAAACGCAAATACAGCTATAACTTCATTATAGGTCTGGATTTATCTACTGATTACTACATTCGTACCAAAATTTCCATATTTGGCGATCTCTATCAACTGCGTATGAACCAAATGCTTAAAACATGAAATTGAAATTTTAGCTCTTTAGCTTAGCCAGGTTACATGACATTTAGGGTTCAACAACCACTTCAAACGACATTTCTTTAGAATTTTAGAGTAAAGTAATTATGAAATAATTAAAAACATTCGATTTCTTCTCCAATTGGTGGCACTTTTAACTAAAAAGTCGACAGCAAATATCCAACAAGATTCTACAATTCTCATTCAGAAGCCTTGACTCTTATTAATTCTGTGGTCCTTCTTCTGGCATCTTACTTTCGCCTTAATGTTAAGCACAGTTAAAGGCTTTCCTTGTAGTTTATATCCATATTCGGTTTCCATTCATAGGCTGCTGATTTTGTGGAATGGCATTAATAGATCATTGTTTTCCGATGCAGGGGACGAAACATGGCCAACGGGTCTTCCACAAGAGATGAACAATAATGGGTAAACGACAGATCTAATATCTTAGACGTCACGCAGTGTTCTTGCCTTGCTACAAAAAGACCACTGCTTAGCTTTCTCACTTCCCTCTTCCTGGCTTTAGTCTCCTGCAGGATAACGTGAAAGTTGATGCGCCCACGGTTTTGAAAAGTGCGTAGAACTGGCTTTGCGGAGTCTGTCCTAATGTTGTAAGTGCGGCAAAAACAATTACTATGGCCGCTTACAAGCGTTTCCCTCAAGATTTTCGAATCCATGATATCTTATGCAAACATAGTAACGCTGATACCTCTGATGTCGAAGGCAGCATGGATGTGATGACATTATTTTTTCCGAAATTAAAGCGAATTGTCAAACTTTGACAAAGGACTATTTATAAAACCACCTTCCTAATTACTCTTGGCTAAATATCCGCTTTAATTTTGATAAATTCTCTCTCAGATTGTGAGGATGCAGTAACCTCGCTGCAATGAAGTACTCTCAGGTCATTTCAGGGCGGTTGATGGCGGTAGACTTGCCCAGACATCCAGGAGTCCGCTTACTAGTCGCGGTCAATAAAACAGGAAATGCGTAATTATAACGTCACGAATGCTATTGATATATCGTCGTTTGCTAACTAAACAATTTTCTTTTTAGCTTTTCTGGTAGCAAATCTAACTAATTTCTGTACTGGAAAAGCAACTTGAAGATTAAC